AATTTTTTTTTTTTAAATTTTTAATGTATATGACAGGTTGTTATAGAATATGACCAGTCTTAGGGCTGGCCCCGTGGCGCACTCAGGAGAGTGTGGCGCTGGGAGTGCAGCGACGCTCCCGCCACGGGTTCGGATCCTATATAGGAATGGCCGCTGCGCTCACTGGCTGAGTGCGGTGCGGGCGACACGGCATCAAGGGTTGTGATCCTCTTACCAGTCACGAAAAAGACAAAAAAAAAAAAGAATATGACCAGTCTTCAAAAGGACTGCCTAAATTGTACCATATAAAAGTAGTAGACATATAGATGGTACCACTGCTGTATGAATTTTGCTATGACAGAAGTTATTGAATATCATTTACTGGAGGTATGTGAGAATATCATTTAGCACATTTGACTCAAGAAGGTGGCTTTCAGGCAGGGTATCAGGCTGGCAGTCCCCTCCTAAGTAAGAAATTACCATGCACCAGGTGAGGCTACACAAAGCTTACAAAGAGACCAGACCAGCTTACCTGGCCTTCCACCTTTCATACTCAATTAGATATCCAGACCTATAGAGCTCTTATCTAATCAGTGACAGAAAAACCAGAGAAATGTAGCCCACCTACCTCTTACCTTCTCTCCTCCCTTCCCATCCCTGCTCTGTGCTGGACCAACCACAAAGAAATTAGAAGTACAAGGCTCACAGTGCCTGAACATAGTTCATGAAGAAATAAAAAAGAAGAAAGAAAGAGGCTCAGAGACAGGGTCATATTGCTACTTCTTTTCCATGACATTCCCCACCATCATCACTGTACACAGCCCAGGGAATGGATCACAGGCCCAACACAATTTCATCCATCAGATCAGTTTTCTGTCTTCCATCCAGAGAAATAAGCTACCGGTGTTTGGGGTTTTTCCCCATACCTCCTAAGTAGTTAAAGTGAAAGGTTAACAAAACCTTTTCCCCTGGTGACTTCAATTAACCACCTAGCTCTTCCTACGCTGAAAACTAGAAAGTTTCAACTATATTGCCAGACATCTTTGCTTCGGCTAAAAATGACCCCTGCCTGGTAAGTTGCATCTGCATTGAGAAAATTTCAGATATATAAGAAGCCATTGGGCTTCCCTGAGTATGAAGACTACCATAAGTACATGTGCCTTATGAAGACCCTGAGCTGTCACCTGGGAAGTTGATAGTTCTTGGAGAACTGTGTGCTCTGGTACACAGACTGCTGTTGAAAGAGCGCGTCTTCTGACAGGAAACCAAACATTGCCCTGCTGGCCAGCAGTCGTTCCTGTCTATAGCCACCTACGTATATTGGTACCAAATGTAGCCTATTGTAGGCTTGTTGAGTCTGAATGGTTGAACCTAAGATTTGGTGGACAATGCAGAAGTAAAATAGAAATTTTCTTGTTGAAATATGCAAATGAGAGAATGAAAGTTCTCCTATAACACTCCCCACTTTTCTTAATCAGTTGAACTTAAAAGCCAGAGCTTGATGGTCAACTGGAAATTTGGTCTGTGTCCAAAAGAGGCATCTCCTAAATTCCAAAATTTCTCTCCCCAGTCTCAAGGAGAACACAGTCAGATGATACTAGTATTTTTAAGTATTTACTGATACCCTTGGTAAATCCTTTATGTGTTCTCTTAATCCTCACAACTCCATGAGAATAGATTTTTTTTTATTCTAATGATGCTTATTTTATAGATGAGGAAAATGAGTCTGAGAGAAGTCATTAATTTTTACAGCTAGTCCACAGCTTATTATTAAAAACTCAGTTGGAAAGTTTTGCCATCAAGAAGTTAAATGAGAGTTTCAGCTTCTTAAAGGATAACTGCCACTTTCCAAAGAGAGAATACTACAAACTTATATATACACGTATGTGGGGAAATAGGCATCTCAGAACAGCAGTCAGCTCTGGGATGTACAGAAGAATAGTCAGGTGAGGACCACACAGGAAAGACAATTAACGGGATCCTAGGGTTCATTCTTAGAAGTAGTGAGTCTCACCCTGAGTGGGGAAATGCCAAGAACCAATGGGACACTTGGGGAATCAGGGGACTGGGAAATCAGAAGGAAAAGACTTAAGAAGTGCACAGAATCAGCATCTTGGAAAGGCACCACATTTTGGAGAATGAAGCTTCCCTTAGTAGAGGGGGAAAAGGAAGATTAAAGCTCTGTAAAAGACCCAGCAACCATGCTCCTGTGCATTATTCCAGAGATAAATTTATGATATAAAAACCTGTATATAATGTTCATAGCAGAGTTATTTGTAATAGCCTAAAATTAAGAAAAAACCCTAAATGCCCTTCAGTGGATGGTTAAGTGAATTGGTATATCCATACAATGAAATACTAAACACTAAAAAGGAACAAACTATACCTAGAACTTAGATGGATCTCAAAGGAATTTCACTGAGTGAAAAAGGACAATCTCAAAAGGTTACAAACTGATTTCATTTGCATAGCATTATGGAAATATAGAGAACAGATTAGTGGTTGCTAGAGTTAGGAAGAGTGGGGAGAAAAGTGGTGGTTGAGTATAACTATAGGGAGAGCACTGAGGACCTTTGTGATGATGGAACAGGTCTGTATCTTGATTATGGTGGCAATTATAAAAATCTACACATGATAAAGTTGCATAGACCTATACGCAAGTGGGAGCATATTTTAAAAGTCAAATCTGAGTAAGGTCTGTGGACTGTAATGATGTCACTTTTCCTGGTTTGATACACAAGTGGGAGCATATTTTAAAAGTCAAATCTGGGCCGGCCCGGTGGCGCACTGCGCTAGTGCGCCGCTTGGGAAGCGCGGTGGCGCTCCTGCCGAGGGTTCGGATCCCACATACAGACCGGTTTCCGCTCACTGGCTGAGCGAGGCGCGGGTGAGGACCTTTGTGATGATGGAACAGGTCTGTATCTTGATTATGGTGGCAATTATAAAAATCTACACATGATAAAGTTGCATAGACCTATACTAAAAATAAAAAAAAAAATAAAAGTCAAATCTGAGTAAGGTCTGTGGACTGTAATGATGTCACTTTTCCTGGTTTGATACTGTACTATAATTACATAGTTACCACTGGGTAAACTGGGAGAAGGGCACACAGGACTTCTTTACTATTTTTTGCAACTCTTTGTGAACCTAGAATTATTGCAAAGTAAAAATATTTTTTAAAAGTCCTATATGGTATCAGATGACAGACTCTCCCCTCCATAAAGGCATTATGACTGAACAGTACCTCATTTCACAAAATCAACTTAGCAGAGGGTATTCCTGAACTAACCTAAACCCCTCACCTCCTCCCATTTGATTACCTGGTATTGCTGGGAACTCAACACAAAAAAATTACACACGTGGGGGGAAAAAAAGACTTAAAGTTACTCTAAAGGGAAAATTGAAAATGAGAAAAAAAAAACCATAAAATTCTTTAACACAATATGCTAATATGAATTAAGTAAGCACAGATATGGAAAAAACCTAAAGTAGAAATTCAAAAACTCAGACTTGGACAAACAACAATGAAGATGTGAAATGGCAGACTAAAATCATGAAAAAAAAATTGAAGAAAAAGATAAAAATATCTCAGAAATAAAAATAATTATAAAGTGTCTAAGGAAGAATACATATAACCAAAAGTAAAATAAAGGACATGGAAGATTGAAATGTAAAGAATCAAGAAAATAAAAGGTTAAAAGAAAAATCAGAAAGTGATAAATATAAAGGGCAAAGAAGATTGGATCTAATATACATATAATTACTTGATGTCCCTGAAAATAAAATAAGATGGAACAGTGGTTCTCAAAATGTGGTCAACTAGGTCAGTCAGGAATGAAAGTCTATAAGACAACTCAACTGACTGACCTCTTCAAAAAGTCAATGTTGTGAGGAGAAAAAGACAGGGAACTGTTCTAAATTGAAAGAAACTAAGCAGCAAATCAAATGCAATGGATCCTTGGCTTTAAAAAGTATAAGACATTTTGGGGCACTGGAGGAAATTTGAATATGGCTGGATATTAGATGATGTTAGAGAATTAACTTCCCAGTTGTGATAATGGAAAGTTAAGGGATGCATGCTGACATATTTAGGGGTGAGATATTACGATGTCTGCAATTAATGTCAAAGGTTTAGAAATAAACATATATGAGTAGATATACATATATAAATAAAATATAGCAAAAGATTAATAATTGTTGAATCTGAGAGATGGGTATACACAGTTCACTACTTTCAATTTCCCTTTTTGTTTGGAGATTTCCACGATAAAACAAACAGCACATGCCCACACAGTTCACCAAGTCCTTTGGGAAAAATCCACTTACACATAGTCTCAGATTTATCTCAGTGGCATTTAAGATAATCCTTCTTACAAAATCTTACTGCTGGCATTCCAGCCTCAAGTATGAAGTACTGTTGTCCCTATTTAAGACATCTTAATTTCCATTTCACTCTTTAGTTGTGAGAATACACCACATTTAAAAAAGGAAACCACTCCATTTTCAGCCCTCTCCTGACTTGAGTTCTTTCCTTATGCAGGTTGTCTCTAAGATACATTATTTAACTATTTTATACCAAGAACCCTCAACATACCACCTAACTTTCACTGCACCTTCTCTGCAGGATCTCAACTTTGAATCAATCCAACTTGAAAATCCACTTCTCCATATTCCCTCACTTCCATAAGGTTTCTTTTCTTGATCTCCCATACTGATGTGATCAGTCCTTAGAAATCTCATACCATTTTGTATTGCTGGTGTCTCAGATGCAATGACTCTCCACCTGAGTCATGGAGATTTATCTCTACCACTCTTGTGGCAATAAGGCAATTATTTATTTATTTTTTTTGCGGTTGGCTGATACAGGGACTGAACCCTTGACCTTGGTGTTTTCAACATTACTGAGCAATGGCAGTTATTTCTTTTACCTTGTTATTAGTGAAGAAACCTAAAATTTTATATACTTACTCTGTTAAATGGTCACAACATCAAAAACAACTGAAAAAACAGCCATAAAACAGTTATGATTAATGTATTATCTTTATAATTCAATGAAAACAATGTTTATTAGATATTTCATGTATTCTTCTCTGAGAAGTCCTTAATTCTTGTCACTGAAACCTGTAAGCAACTGAGCAGCTTCTGTCTGTATCTAAAATGTAAAAATACATGTTATTAATAAACATTACAGCTTAGAGATTAACTTGTGAAATTTAAGTTTATAAAGTGGACTGTGGTTTCTAAGAGTTGCCAAAAATCAGGATAGGACATTGTAAGAATGAAATGTCTTAACCAGATGAGACTCTTGGAGAACTCTTCCACTTTAGTACATATCCCTTGACTTCTGTGTTTTAGAAATCTTATTTGATCTGCTATCTTTGTCATACAGGAATAATTTTGTATTGCAGCAAGCAATTCATAACATCTATTTGGTGAAAGTAACAAAACATTTCCTATACAGAAATTAATGTAAAATGTCAATGAATTTACATTTGAAATAGATACTACTGTTTTCAGCAATAAGCATTTAGACAATAACCCTTCTAAAGAAACTCTTGATTCACCTTTATTTAACAGTGCCTCAATGAAATTCTGTCTGCCTTACTTTATTGGAGATGTTTTACCTGTTTATCTTCCTCTGTGTGTGCTGGATAGTCCTTGGCTCTCAGTAGCCAGAAAGCAGCAAGCTTTTTGTTGTGTAGTTTTAAGTATGTCTTTCCTAAAAGAAGCAAGTTTTTGCTGTAGAAGTTTGGATCCACTGTACATAAAAAAGAAAAACAAATTTATCTCAGATGAAACAGTGTTACTTTTTTACAGGTTTAATTTTTTGGTCGAAATTCCAATAATAAATTTGTGTGATCAATAAGTGATTAAGCTATATGAAATTCTTTTGTCCAACTGTTCATATCTTAAATAATTACCAATTATTGAATAGCTACTATGTGCTAGGCCCTATATTAACAAACATTTTTCATCTTCACAACAATTTTATAAAGTAGGTATCTCCATTTTATAGATGAGAAGCTGAGGTTGCTGATGCAATGTAAGCTATAAGGACAGCGGTTTTCTTTTTAATCTCTTTTCTTCCATACTGTACTCCAAGTGCCCAGAACAGTGTCTGGAACATAACACACTCAAAATACATTTGCTGAATGAGTGAATGAAATCATGATGATATATACTATACATTTGGTCAACATTTACTGTATGTCAGCTATACTTAAGCATCAAGAGAGGATGAAACAAAGTCTCTGTTCTTTTGGAATTTATAATGAAAAGAGAGAAACATGAACCCAACTAAATGTGATATAAGAATGAAAGGAATGCTTTATCAGATGTACAAACTTTAAAGTTCTATGAGAAAGCAAAGAAAGAAGCAACTACCTCTGAGATTACACTTGGACTGACTTGGAGGATGAATAAAATTTTAACAGAAAAAGTTGAGAACATTCCTGACAGAGGGAAAAGCATGAATAAAAAACATGAATGAAAGCCTGGAACTATCTCAATAACTTCATTAATTCTTGACACAGTTTCCTCCTAAACAATCTAGGATCCTCTATATTCAAAGAATACTTTTTCCTATGTAAAATTTAAGATTAACTCCATTTTCTCCTAACCCCAAATTGTTTTACTTCTTTTATTTGAACATATTTATGTGATGCCATGTTGATATAGTTAGGTTTCTTGGGGTTAAGTATATTGATTTATTCATTCATTCACTCATCCATTCATCTGTTTACTCATTCAGCAAATATGCTAAGCGTTGTGCTAGCCAATGAGGATGCAATTATGAGCCAGAAAGACAAAGTCCCCATCTTCCTGAATTTACAGTTTTAGACACATAAACAAATATTCATAGTATGAAGTGAAAAGGGCTATTATGGGAGAAATAAAACATACTAAGAGTATAGGATGAGCTTCTGAACCAGATTTGGGCATGAGGAAAGGAAGCCTATGTAGTGACCTCTAAAGTAAAACCTGGAGGATGACGAGTTATTTACCAAGGATCAACTTAGCTCTGTGAGAGCTGAACCATGTTTTATTCAACATCCCCAACTCTTAAGGCTCTAAGGTCTGATTTTTACTTTGTAATTACACTTTTAAATCTCTTTGAGAAAATTTCATTCCTGGATTCATATTTATGATATGTAATACAGTATGATCATGAGAGGATAATGAGTAATAATAAAGTAGAATTTATGAATTACAGAGATATTCAACATTCAGACACAACTCTTTAGAAAATATGTTTTTAAAAAAAATTACTTTGCTGGGCTGGCCAGTTAGCTAACTTGCTTAGAGTTGAAGGGTTTGGATCACTGTACCAGCCAGCCACCAAAAAGACAAAAATTGCTTTGCCATCATGGAAGTATTTCAATAAGTCTATATGTGTAGGATCTCAAATTTAACAAACACTATGTCTTTTAAATTTTCTTCTGATTAAATTTTATAAAAATATATTTGTAGTGGCTTTTATGGTGTATTTGATAACGCTATGTCCCTTCCCTCAGTGTTATTAGTGTTAAAAAGGGTAAATTTAGGATGGACTGGTGACAGTTTTGTAGGGCTAGTCACTTTTTCAAAACAAGAACAACAAGAAACTCTTCTTCACAGACAATGTCTGCAACAGAACAAAAACTGCCTGGTTTAAAACCAGAGCTCCCATTTAAATACGTCTAATTAACTGTGTGATCTTGAAACCCACAGTAAACCTGTCAGAGCCTCCTCTCAAAAGAGAAAGTTGAACTACATCAAATGAAGGACCATTACAGAATTGCAGCTCTAAATTCAGTAGTGGCCTGTTTCTCATTCAGGTGATCTTTACTGAATAAAGACTTTTAAAATTGTTTTACAATATCTAGTCCAAAAAGAAGTATAACAGAATAGCTTACTGTAAAAATTACTTTATAATATCTAGTGCCAAAAGAAGTATAACAGAATAAACATCTTTATTTTTAAAATTTCTATTATATATTCAGCTTTATACAATTGTAACTATATTAATATGTAAAATCAAAAATATGTTACCTTGTTCTGCCCTGTGAAAGTAGCCTAAGGCCTGTTAAAAACAAAAAGAGCCCAAACAATGAAAAAGATAAAACAAATTCAGTATAAAAAAGCATTTTCTCCAAAGTCTATTCCTATAGTAAATATAAGTCAGGAAGTAATTCATCTTAAAATAATGGTCAATTCTTCAACAATGAGAGTTAACATAGCCAAACTGAACGTAACACTGTTACATCATCAGAGGTTAGAATTACAATATGTGGATCACTTCTGGTAATAACTTGGTTGCTCTTTAGAACTTGTACCAAACAAGCATCATGTGCAGAAAGGAAAGAATATCATGTGTAACTCAGTTATTTTGACCTTTTTCATAAATCATAATAGCATATACTAGTAAAAACTAGATATAATCAAAAGCTTAGTTTACTCAGTGATACAGAGGTTGTACCAGTTAATCTTTAAGTCTATTATTACTGAAATTTCTACATACAATGTTATGAGTCTGAAATTTTCTGCTAATTCTTTTTGTCCCACTTAAAACTACTGTTTTTATAATGCATTATCTACTGATATTTGATTTCTGAAAAACATAACCGATTTGTTATAGTAGATATCTCCTTAGCATGCTTTCTAATACTAAGTAGTTACCAATTGTGTTCTAATTATACAACTAAATATTCTTTACATCAAATTCTACACTATAGCCCCCCCCCCCCAAAAAAAACCAAAATAGCTCCTTGGTATGATGCAAGTATTGGGAAAGCTTTTTCAACTGCCCATTTCCTTACTATAAAAATTTTGTGATGAGTGAGTCCAAAATGTTTACCCAGAAATCCCTTTCAAATCTTATTTTTAACAGGAAAAGCAAAAGGCCTTGAACATATGAGAGAATATGAGCCTTTCATACCCCTTTTTTATAAAAAGTTATAATTACTGTTCTTTTATCAATTCGTACATGTGCTTTATTTTCCTAAATGACTGTGCTACCATGTAGAATGTACCTAAAAACATGCTGGGTAACAGTTGCTGTATTTCTTATTCTACTTTACAACTTGTAAAGATTTCACATAGAAAATGTAGGTAGATTTTAGCCAGGAGCTGTTTTAGCTGACGGTATACCGGAATTATCAGCCACTCACCTAAAAGAAAAGAAAAAAAAAAACACCCACCAGTCATGGAAAATAAATATTAAGCCTTTGTGATAAAATAGTTGAATTAGATCATTAGAAACTTGCTCAAATCCCTCACTGAATCAGCTCCATATGTGTGGAACCAGTAGAATGGTGCTATAGTTAAGAGATTGGTACTAACTGAAAAAAGGACATCATACTACCTCCTCATAGGTGGAATTAGGAGGAGTTGCAAACAGCATTTTAGCAATTCTTCTTTGATACCAAGGCATTTCAGCAAATGTATAGCACCTACAGAGAAATAAAATAACATTATACATTCAAATTTGTACTTTTCTTTCCTCTTAAAGAGTGCTAAGCAGCTAAATAGAAATTACAAAAGGAATCTCTACGTTTAAACAATTTGTACTTTATATGATACCCAGTAGGTTAATATTCATACTGAATTATCTAGAAACTAATTTATATTGATCCATTAGTTGGGGTGTATTTTGTGATAAAATATAAATAGTAATAGTACTAGTAATGATAATACAATATATCATTTACCACTGAGTGCTCACTTTGTGCCAGGTGCTGGGCTAAATAATTATCCCTCTCATCTGCTCCTTACAACAAGTAAATGAGATAGGATCATTACCACTATTTTTTACATAAGAAAAACTAAGTTAAAAAACTTATCCAAGAAAAATGATAAAACTAAACATCATATGCATAAATAATAGCAACCAACAATTTAAGGGGTGATGCAAATGATTACCATCTAAAGATCTTTACATTCTGAAATAGGTAGGAAAAAAAGTGTTGGATCTTTGACTATGGTCTGAACTCCTTGAGGCACAGACTGTATCTCATTCATGTTTACTTACTATCATCTGACTTACTATCCCTCAATTATCATTAATCCTTGGTAAGTGTTTAATATGTCCTTTATCCTCAAGGATATTTACTTCTCATTTAAAATAATTTGATACAGGACTGTTTATAGTTACCTCTCTTAGATGAAAGTAAATATTTAACTCTGCAGACTACACCCAAGAAAGCATGGTCCAACCTGTCTCAGAAAAGATTCTTAAACCAGCAAGTATTTAACACATTGGTATACCCTCATACCAGCAAAATAATAATCTACAATGGATGTAATATCACATAAAAATAGAAAGATACTGAAAGTCACATTAGATTGTTCCTCAGATAAATCAAGACTGTATTTGACACACTTTGATGAAACAAAGACCCTCTTGGGGCATCCTACTATGTTACTGTGGTTAGATTAATCCTTAGCATGGTAAATAAGAATAGTCTTTCCCAACAAAGGGAATTTCAAGGTCTAACAAAAAGTTTTAAGACCTTTTAAGTACATGTTTCTTAATGCCCTGATTAGCAGTGTTTAACAAGATCACAATCAAATTTAGTATGTTCTAACAATACTTATATAAGTGCTAGTTAATGGATTTAACACTCTAAACTCTGCCAAATATTTTAAAATATTTTACATCTTTGCACTTTTTTATACTACAAAATGAGATATTTATACATAGTACAAAATAAGAACACACTAAATACCACTGATGTATTTATGTAAAGAAATTTTCTAGGGCCAGCCCGTGGCTCACTTGGGAGAGTGCGGTGCTGATAACACCAAGGCCACGGGTTCGGATCCTATATAGGGATGGCCGGTTGGCTCACTAGCTGAGTGTGGTGTTGACAACACCAAGCCAAGGGTTGAAATCCCCTTACCGGTCATCTTTTTTTAAAAAAAAGAAATTTTCTTACCAAATACCCATAAGGTGAATTGAAGTAGCATCTTTAGGGTTTAGTTCAATTGCTTTCTAAGAAGAAATAAGAAAAAACAATCATATTTGTTTTCTAAACACCAATAAGTTCTTTATTTTGTTTGCAGAAGAAGCCATATTAAAAAAAAAAACCCTGCAACCCCATGTTTTAATTCTTCTACAGTAATCAACACCAACTTTCTTCCTCCTGATTCTGATTAAATTTGTTTCAACACACTGTTAATGACTTGTACTAAGGTTACTATTTTATAAAGTTCAGAAACTGATAACAGGATCTATCGAGATGAGAAAATACATGAAATATGTAAATGTATCTAACTTTGAAAACAGTAATCTGTACCTCTCAATGTTTCTTCTAGATTAAAGAAAAAATAAATAAGGAAGTCCTTTTCTGGCAAAACATAGATGAATAAATAAAATGCATTCTTTCCTAAAAGAACTACAAGTCAGGGCGGAAACCGTGGCGCACTCAGGAGAGTGCGGCGCTGGGAGTGCAGCAGTGCTCCCGCCGCGGGTTCGGATCCTATATAGGGATGGCCGGTGCGCTCACTGTCTGAGCGCGGTGTGGCTGGTCTCAAAAAGCACACACACAAAAAAAAAACCCATAAAAAAAAGAACTACAAGTCCACGATATTAGAAAGTCCATTCCTTTATGCAGATTTTCAACTTTCTCATCTGTACTTACCAAAGGAAAAACAAATATTATTATTAATAGAATAATTATGTACAATATAAAATATGTTGATAAAATCTCCCTAAATTCTATTTACTATGTGGATTATTGTAAAGCATAAACTACAGAATAACTTTAAAGAAATGACTCCTCCTTTTAGCCATTATTTTGTTGAAAACCACTAAGGAAATCTTACAGATTGTTGATTAATATTGATCCTATTAAAAATAAAAAACTCTTTTTGAAAAAATTAAGACTTCATAGTTTATGATTTTCTATAAACCCACATTTTCACTTTCAGTTTGGTGAGATACATATATTCAAATATTGATAACAGTTAAGAGCATAGGCTCTGAAGCCAGACTGCCAGGGTTCAAATTGCAGCTCAGTGACCTCTAACTTGACCTTGGCAAGTTCTATATTCTTGCTGTGGCTGAGTTTTCTCTTTTATAGAAAATGACACACCTACCTCATAGGGTTGTTGTAAAAATTAAATGAACAAGTAACAGCAAACGCTTATTTACAATGATATCTACTATCACCACCATCGTTATTTTTACTTTTCATGAAATAATACCAGGCACTTAATTTATTACTAACACTGATTCATATTAGTAGTAGTAATAGTAGAGACAATAGAATAAGGCTAACAAAGTATAGTTTGGCAGAAATCTTGCTTTAATAATATGAGGAAGAATCAGCACTGACCTAATTTTTCTTCTCCTTCAATATAGTGATGTGAATAGTAAAATATATTTTTAAGTATTTAAAAACAACTTATATTCTAAGCAACCTTTCCCACTTGGAGTTCCACTTGAAAATTAAGCCCTACAAAAATTTTATGAGTAGCTATTTTCTCCATTCTCCTACAAATGATACAGAGCTAGCACCATTCTAGATGCATGGATAGGACAGAAGTTAATTCATCAAACATAATGAATGCCATGGGGCATAAGGGTTTAATTTTCTTAGGAGAGGTTGAGAAGTGCTACTTTCAAGCAAACCCTTTCTTTTAAAATCCTCCCTGCCATTAGTTTACCTTTCAATAACAATCCAAAGATAATTCCTTACAACTTTAGATGTAATAATGGAACTCAAACTAGAAGTAGTACAAATGATCTTTTTTTTTTTTTTTTTAAAGATGACCAGTATGGAGATCTTAACTCTTGACTTGGTGTTGTCAGCACCACACTCTCCAAGGTGAGCTAACCGGCCATCCCTATATAAGGATCCAAACCCATGGCCTTGATGTTATCAGCACCACATTCTCCCAAGTGAGCCACGGGCCAGCCCTACAAATGATCTTTTTAATGTAAACACTAAATATTGTTATTTTAATATATTTACAAATGTACACTTGAAAGCTTATACAAAAATTCCTGTAGAATTTTTAGCACCAAAAGACGAGCTTACTATAAATAAGTAAATTAACTTTAGGGGGAGATATTAAAACACACATGCACTACACACACAGATAATATAATTTTAAACAGCATTAATTATTACTGCTGGGAGTGGGATGTCAATTGTATTACTGTTACATTGGACCATGCTTTTTGGTACTCAAGAGTTTGTGTGACTAGTCCCTGCCCACAGAAACTAGGCTTGGCCAGATGACTTATTTAGGTTAACAGGATATTACCAAGTATGATGCAAGCAAAAGGTTGATAAATGTTTATACAATGGAACTTTTCTCTTGGAACGCTCACTCTTGGAAGCCAACTACCATGCTTTAAAGAAGCTTGGGCTACAACACTAAGTGATAAAAAAACAAGTGGAGAGAAGCTTTCATGAGGGACCATCTTGGACATTCCAGTCCCAGCTGAGGGCCCAGGTGAATGAAGCTGTTGAAATGACCTCAGCTATACCAGGCAAAGCAGAGGCACCACTATGCTCAGTTAACCCACTTTTTTTTGATAAGAAATAACAAATTGTCATTTTTTTTTTTTTTTTTGTCTTTTGTCTTTTTCCGTGTCCGGCAACGGATCGCAACCC